CCAGCTGTCGACTGCTCTTCAGAAAAAAATGGTTCAGTTATAAAACTAGCTGTCATTCAACAGTAAACGGTGTGAAATGACTGTTATGCAATCGAATGCAGTAGGAGAATGCAATGGAACTAGATAGATAACATGAGAGATTTCTTTGGCCCAAATCGATTAAAAAGCGATTTGAATCAGTATCTTCATGTTTTAGTGCCGAATTCAGGCTTAAAAAATTACAAATTAGCGATCTGTAAGAAAACGATTTCCAGATTGTACGCACTTGTGAGAGTGATTTTCGATTTCACATTTTCTAATCGCTAATTCATGGTTTTCACGGACGAAATTCTCACTTACAGGGATGGCGCACTCGACATTTTATCGAATTTAACGTCTTTAAAATAATAATTTGCCTACTTCAAAGTTTCTTAATATACAGGGTATACAACATATTAAACCCGTTTAACAAAAGGTTAAGTTAGATTCCGACCCATATTTCGTTTAACAATATTGCATACAGCGCCATTTCCCTCCCCTGGTGGTGAGGTTTCGAACTTCCTTTTTTTCGCGGAAAATAAATTCCCATGACCTCCTTTACACGATTACCAAGTTTGATAACATTTGATCCAGTAGTTTTCTTTTTTATGACCGTTTCAATGTGGAACTTTAATTATAACCACTCTGTATATTATTAAATTTTAATTTGAAGCTATGCGTTATATGTATACCATGCGTAAAATTTTCTCTTTTATGGAAAAAAAAAAAATCGAAGCAAATATACTTAGTATAATGGACCAAAACTGAAAACATTTCCCCTCCCTCCGAAAATAAAATATTGAAATTTCGAACTTGAATTTACTGGGTTTATCGAAATATTTAATTTGACTTATCTTCTAAGTCCTAGTTCCGACAACAATTCCGTCAAAAATTCCGAATTACTTAAGCTAAAGTAAAAGATTTAGTATATATTCACTGTATGTTAATAAAGTAATCAGAGTGTAATAAAAATAGATTATAGAATTTACGCTGATGTAACTTTTTGTCTGACTGCACAACATGTAATGGAAGAGGAAGGTTTGTAGAGATCTGTTTTTCACATGCCTCTAAAAGTAGATGTCATATTAATTTCGTCTCTTCAATGTCAAAAAACTTTCCTTTGAGAGGCAACTTTAGTTTTTGAGAAAGAAAAAAAAATCACAAGAAGACAAATTTGAAGAACATGCAGGACGATTGAATATACATACTTATTTTCCGAACACAAGCGGTTCTCCGACTGTTTATTGAATAATGAAAAGATGCATTGTCATGCAATACAAAACATTTGGAATACGTTTTCTGGCTGAATAACGTAAGATTAAAAGTCATCTGCTTAATTCACATCCATTTACAAGTCAACTACTCGGGCAATTGCAGAATCGTTTTGATCCTGAGCTTGTAAGACGAACCTAATATCACTGGATTTAAACACTTCTTTAATCTTCCGAGAACGTTCCTTCTTTAGCTCATATTCCAAGAATATTAAGTGAATACAATTATTGCCAAAGAAATTGAATATTCATTTGCACTACGGCTTGGTAGTTTACTAACGAGTTAACAAAAATTCTGCTTTTTATGTCAAAGAATACAACAATATTTTAAATATTTACAAATAAAATATTAAATTGGAAATTTAATTGGAGCCTCATCAGTTGCCTAGCATTTGAAAAAGAAAATATTGTTAAATACTAATTGTTTGCTGCTCAGTCTAACCCAGGCTGCATGGTTGGTTTTCGTAGTTTTTTAGGTTCTCTTTACAAAGATTCTCTATGAAAGCATCTTAATCAAATAGCTCCCATGTTTTTTCTATGTTCAAATAACCAACTAACCTAGTTTAAGCGCGATTTCCGAGTGAAGTTACTAGTAAAATCCGAATACTCATTAAAAATCATGTAGCTAGCCAATCGGGAGTAACATGAAAGATACGGCGCCAATAATTGGAACGTTGTTACGGTACGCTGTTTCTTAACTTAGATGGTCATTCCTTAATTAAATAGCGCACCAACGGCCGAGCGTTAAAGAGGCTGAACTCTGGTAGTTCAGTCCGAGGTTCGAATCCCGCGAACGGGCTGGCCGCATGGGCGGTTTCGTGGTTTTCCCCATGTGTAACGTGTATGCGAGCCAGTTTCCCTTAGAAAGTCCTCCACGAAGGCATCCCTCAGGCAGATAGCCCTCGTGTGCTTTGCCATAATTAAATAATCCAATTCAATCCTTAATTAAATATAATTGATTTGTAAATTCTACTAGAACTGACGGTAAGAATTGAAGTGGAAATAAGTAATATGGTGTGCAATCTTGATTAATATAAAATTAAAAATATTTGCATAGAAAAATGTTTGCATTCAGACAGAAAGTTTTTTGAAATATTTGCAATTACTTTATAAGAAGGATTTATTAATAACAGCAATAATTACTTATTATATTACTGATGATTAGGATTCAGTTCTTGACAATTACATTCTAAATTAGAATTTTAAGGATATAATGAAAATACGCTACGCACAAAAATACATTTTAGGAAAAAAATGAGTTGATTTTTTATGTTTTAAAACTTCTTAATTCATTTAGTAACATCGTATCCTCGTTGTTTACTGAATCCAGAATGTTGGTGTCGTTTATATAATTATTCTTACTTGTCCACAGAATCTGCTGACTTATCCAGCCATTAAGTAGCTGCAGATCATTTCTACATAACCATTGAACTTCCATTAATTCAGTCTCTAGAGGGTTGTATGTTTATATCATAATTTGACTTTTATAAAAAATGATTATTCTAAATATTATGTTTCTATAAAATATATTGTGCTTTAAAAATATGGATAATAGTATCAGTCGCTCTTTCAGCCACTACAAAAGCAACAGTTTGTTTAGAAATAAATTATGCAGTTAATGTCATAAAATTCAAATAAATATCAAACGAAAATTCTCAGTTTTAGACAATTCGATTTAAACGAAGTAAAGTAGCAGACGATAAAACGCCGAAGGTAAAAATTTACTCTTACAAAAACTTACTCTTAATTTTTTTTAAAAAAAAAAGATACGAGAGAAAATTTTAAAAAAAATAGTTTAAAAATTTGAATAATATCATCTATAATTTAAAAAAATAGCCTTTCATATAGTATTAATAAATATTTATTACGCATCATTGAGGGAAAAAAATGTCATATAATTAATTCTCCGTAAAAATTTTACTTGAAGTTTAAGGTTAAAAATAGCTGTGGCAATTCAGTGTAACAAAAATCCATAGACCACATTTGGCGTTATTATCGCTCAAAGAAAAGGTGCCAAATTTCAAAACGCGAATTATGTAAATTCGTGTATATCTTAGAAAATTTTGAGTAAAAAAGTCTAATTTTTTGCAGATATGCTTAAAAATACACCTACTTTAAGATGATGGTAAAAATTTTATAGGTTATAATTCAAAAATTTTTTTTCGAAAAAGCTATAGAAATTATTTAAAAATAAAAATTTAAAAAATAAAAGGCAAAAATGGGTAAATTTTATTTGGAATGAACCAAAATTTCGAAATGTGAGAGAAGGAAAAATCAAAAAAAGTTTAATAAAAAAAGAGATATTAATAAATATTTGCCAAATTCAATTAACATCGAGGAGCTAAAATTTTGAGAGCTAATATTTTAAAAACTAACCGTACGATTTTTACAAAACTTGGTATTCTGGCATAATTTGAGTCGTAGAATCGAAATATGTAAAAAAATTGGTATGTTATTTCAGAAAAAGTCCAATTTTGTGTCAAAATACCTATGTTAGAATAGTACTATAAATAAATCTAATATATATCCTAAGTCGCGCTTTCGAGACATGAAAAACGTAGTTTGAATTTTGTCAATCGCCCCAGTAGAACGGGAGATATAGCACTGTCCCATTTTTTTTTGAGCAGTGTACCATAATAGTGAAAAGTGTTCCGCTTAGTTTCAGCAGTCCCCACATGCCCCTTCTTTCCCTGTTCTGGTTCTTATTTCAATGTACCTCGTTTCGTGACCATTCCCCGGAGGACACAGTAATAAGCTTCTTATTTATATTTATTCATATATTTATTTTTAATTCCATCGACGGGATCCAACAGGCTGAAAAGCACCTAACCCAGTGGGCCAGCTGTTCCGTCGATGGCGAAAAGAAAGAAAAGTGTGCCCGGGAACATCGAGACTGGACCATGGAAGTTTAAGTGGTCGAAGAATCACGAGTTGGAAGACAGTTACCTGGTCGAAGAATCACGATTTCTCATTCATCACGTCGGTGGTCAGGGTACGCCGTCTTCCAGGCGAACAGTTGCTCCCCCTTCCCGTACAGCGGGTCATATACAGGCTGATGGTAGCGGTGCTATGCTTTGAAGAACTTTCTCATGGGCGGCTGTGGTACCCTTAATTATAGTAAGACAGATCATGAAAGTTACGGGTTATCTGAGCATAACTGTGGATTAAATGCACCCTTACACAGAGTCTGTCTTCCCAACAAGAAATGGAATCTGCGAGCAGGACAACATCCCATGTCACAAGGCTCGAATTCTGCTGGAGTGGCTCGAGGGACATAAAGATGAATTTCAGTTAATGTCCTGACCTGACCAACGTTCCATATCGCAACCCGAGAGGGCAAATCTGGGACGTTCTGGAGCGGCAGCTCCGAGCTCAAACACCACCACGTCGGAATATCTCGACTTTGCTTGACCGGTGCTTAGACCATTTGATACAGCCCATCCACAGTCATTTACCAAGAACTTCTGGCATTTATGCCAAGGCAAGTTGAAGCTGTTTTGCAGACCAAACACGCGCATCACGTTATTGAGTAGATGGTCATAATGTTTTGAATCTTCAGTATTTATTATGTAGATAAATAAACCTGTTCAAGAAAGGATAGCATTGTTCATATATGTCTATATAGATGATACGATACATTAATATATAATCGAGCTTTCAGTGCTTTAAAACCAGCATACTGTAAAAGATTCAGCTTCTTGTAGGCTAACAATGAGTGACAACAATGTAAGTTATCATAACGAATGGTTCTTTAAAGCAAAAATAAGCTGTCATTATTGAATAAACTGTTCATTACGCAACACAAAGTTGGAATAAATTATCTGCAATAATTGAACTAATTTGTTGAGATACAGATTTCATTTCTCACCATTTTCTATTCTAAATTTTAATTCTGCATTAAAACTAGCTCATTTCAACGTAAGAAAATTAAAATTCTTCCCCGATTTTGATCAAAATGGACAAAGTATGTATAATTTTACATATATGTAGGTATATATTCTTTGCAAAGCTTAAATAGAAAACAAAAGTTTTCAACAACGCAAATTTTGAGCATGAAAACGATAAGATTTGAACATCTCTCCTTAACTGCAATGAGGCCTTTTACATGACTTTAAAGATGAAATATGTTCCCATTTATTATTGTAATAAAATAATATTTTTGCTTTATTTAATCTAAAGTGGATGGTAAAAATCAGTATAACTTAAATTCTGATCGATTCCTTTTTTATTTATATTTTTGTGGTGTGAGCTATATTTTTAAAACTGCAAAATTGTTATGTTACTTAAAGGATGTAAGACAACCAAATGAAAAGGATTTCAAAAGGAACTTATGCTTTGACAAATTTAGCTAGTAATACTAAATCAATAATTATATTTCTTTTCCACTTTTTATTATCTTTCCATTTAATGAACTTGATTAAATTTGAAACTATTATTGGTTTTACTTCGTATATCTATTCCACTATTAATCACTAACATGGAAAGCGAAACTATTGCCAAAGATTTCAAATAAATAAATTTATTGAAACAAAACATAAAAATTTCTGTGAAATTTACTTAGTTTTTGTTTCTAATCTTTGTATTGTTCCTAAGAATAAAATATTCACCCTAAAAATGAACACATAGTCTTTAAAAAGAGAAGTCATGTCACACGTCTTTGGAGTCTAATGAACAGTATCATCTCCTATAAATACATTTTAAAACTTATGACCTTTTTTTTCTTTTGCACTGAAGAAACAGGCAACATTTAAACATCTTTTTCTTGAATTCCTCAATTATCTTTTCTTGAACCTGTATTAATTTTTTTTGGTGTCTAGCTTGATGAAGATAGCATATGAAATTAAAAATTTATGTTAATTTTTAATTTTTATTTATAAAATAAATACATTAAACGGCATATACACATGAGTTAGTTTACAGAAGAGAGCATGTAGAATTTACATACTCTTAATCTCAGGTTATAGTGAAGAAAAGGGTGCCCTTTGATTTGGACGCCAAATACCGACGCTGATACCTGTTTTCTGGTAACACAGAATCGACTCTGTTTCCCCAATGTTATGGCAGCCACTTTGTTTTTTGTTATTATTGTTACGTACCAATGTTTTTCTGAAGTTTAATCTGATTGGAATTTCTTAGTTTAGTGATCGTATATGTATCACGTACTGCAAATCACGTATTTGGAATTATTGGAATTTTAATTGCCCTTAATTCCCTTTTGGATTTCGTCAGTTGGCTGGTTCTAATTAATCGTTGTCCCATCATTTTTAGAAGGAAGTATGACTGGTATGATAAATACTCTTTGCTTTTATTTTTTCGTGATTTGGAGTAAAATCATAAGAAAGCAACTGACTGGTGTGCGATTGAAGGTTCAATTAGCTGTCGTTATGAATGCCAAGTTTGTGCGAAGTAAATGCATCTGATTGAGCTTAAGGATCAATTGTATTGCTATGAGTGAGTTTGTCGCTAGAAAGGTGCCCGAAACTGGTGCTCATACCTAACCTACACCGTTGAGGGCATGTAGAGCCATATTGAGCAAGAGTTTCGCAAGTGGGGTCTTTGGCAATCGTTGAATGATATTTTGCATTACCAATTTGCGGAGTTTATGTGGAATCGTGTGTACCGGAATTGGGAGAAGGAGGATCATTTCCGGGATCACATGATTTCCATTATGTATGTGCAGCAGTCATCCGATGCTGACAATGAGACATAGCTAAGAACACATCAGGTGAAGTACTTTCATTGTTTCTGCAACATACGTTTTCGGCGTTGTTTTGAATGACGGCCATCTTTGAACATTGCTTCTTGCCGCAATAAAATCTTCCAAATATATCAAGGGGGCACGCGATTGTAAACTTTTGCCTGAGCTTAAATTATTTATTGATATTTATTAATCTTCAGTTAGAAAAGAAGACATGTATTAGAAATTTTGGGAGAAATTAAGGCTATCTTCTGCGCTGATGTGTTATAGGGCTTATGGCACATCGCAAGCAATTGTAAATTACGTGAGAAGTGCACAATTAATTTTTTTAATTTTCCCTGTGGAACGTAATTACCTTTGAAATTTGTAATGGTTAAACAGACGACATTTTGCATATAATAATACATTATTCAAAGTATGACAATATTAAAAGAAAAAATTCTAATGTGGGTACCACACGCCTTCCTTGTACGGCCTATTAAATTATACATATTTTTGGCTGCACTTTATTTAAACTCACTTCTTCAAACTTCATTTCAGATATATTTCTCATTCATTTCACGGCAAGGCAAAAAACTGGATACTTCTTCATTAAATATTGTAAAATACAGAAAAACTGCGAACACCAAATGCAGTTTAAAACAGTTAAAAAATAAAGCCTCGATTTAATCCTAAGCAAACAGATTTGATAAGCAATGGAATGTTAAGTTCTCAAACAGAATATTTTTATTAAACAGCAGTTACAATTTTTGATACAAAATGAGAGAATTCATGACAGAAAGATTAAACAGTTTTATTTTAATGAAAAATAATTCAAGCAGAATACTTCAATGATTTTATAAAAGAATGTGATTCGATTTTTGTCCAGTGGAACGGTCACTTTTGTCACATGATTTTCAATTCAAAAAACAAGTTTTTAATTTTTAATTTCAAGATTATATTCTTTATTTCACATCCGTATATATAGTATATAGAATGTTATAAGTAATCCAATAAGTTTAAATGAAATGCAATAAAAATGCGTATAATTTAATATTCCGTACAAGGAAGTCATGTGGTGTACACATCAGATTTTGTTTTCTGGTATCAATATACGACAGGTAAAATGCTTTAAAAAAATTTAAGTACATATTTTTCTTTTACTTTATAATTGTATACTTCAATTTTTATTAAAAAATTAATACACTCTTTTCAAAAATTCCTAAGATATTTATTGCCACATATGTTTTAATGTTAAATAATTATATCCTATAAAACGTATTTTAAAGGATTTGAATTTAAGTAATTGGAAAATTTTAATTCTTTTAAACGTTGGTATGATGTTTTTAATTCAATATTCAATTTAAATAATATTTTATTCGAATTAAATGTTGGTGCAATGTCTTTATAGCGGTGTTTTTATTCTATTATATGAAAGTAATAATTTAACCTTACTTTAGAATTTTATACTCTTAGTAAAGGTATTTATTTACATTTGCCAGCCATCGTAAAAAACAACGTTTTATACAAAAAAATGAATCCATTATTTTTAACGATATTTATTTCTTTAAAGTTTCGAATACTTAACTATGCGTGAAATACGTAAAAACAGCATTTTTCAAGATGGCTGACGACTGTAAAAACCGCGCCAACAATTGCGCAAACGTAAATCGCCAAAACTCCGTGCAACCGTCTACCAAAGTAGCATCTAAAAAAGTTAAAGTAATTGGTCTAAGAAGCAATAGAAATGAAAGTAACGATAGGTCAAAAGAGGCAACATATCTTGTAAAGTAAAGCAATTATAACAGTAGTGAGATTAAACAAGTTTAAGATCAGATTGGCTGCCTAAATAAGCAATAAAATTTACTCAAAATTATGTATATTTATATATTTCATGTTATTCTGTACTTCAGTTTAACTATGGTTGGTTATTTACGGCAAAGCATAAGAAGGCCTTCTATCTGAAGAGACATTTTGTTCATCCATCCAACGGCAGGACCTTTCAAAGGTCGTTATGTTGTAACTAAACAGGAAGATTCTCCAACTTTAACCTGCATTAATGCCGTGCGACCTTTGAATCGTCTATTGGCGACTTTGGGTCCTGCTGAAGGACAGGACACAATTCGTTGGCGGCGCCAACGAAACTAACAAGGAAGATTTTTCAACCTTAACCTGCATTCTGCTCCGACAGTAATAAGGATATTTCTAGAAAATGTAACAATATTAGGTAGCGTTTGCTGCTAAATTTCCCTAGGGTTGTAGGTCGCCAATCTTTTATCTTGGTAGCTAAATGTGTAGGAACCCTAGTGAACAGGTAAGAGAATATTTGCTTTAGTTCTCAAACAGATGCGTAAAACTCAAGAAGGGTTATTTACCCTTCATTTCTCAAAATAAACACTTCACAGATGGTCCTTTTTTCAGGACTTACAGTAAAGCCTCCACTTGGGCTTGAACTCAATGTAATAAGAAATAAAACTTAACTAAACTAAATGATATAGCCGAAGCTATCAAGATTTCTAAGTAGTTCGCCCCTAAATGTCAACTAAGCTGGCGAAGCTATCAAGGGCCTGACATACTGCCGAGTGTAGAAATAGCTTAAAGAGAGTATAGCCAAAAGGCAAACGCTCGCTACCCAGAATCTCTGGCTCTCTAACGAAGTCAGTGGAACTTCGACTTCAATACCGCTCTTACTCATTTGCATTAACCGCGATTCTTAAAACACTTTCTGGTAAGAAATTGTAAGCTGAAATTAAGAAGGATAGGAAAGAAGTAGCTTTCATTAAAGATAAATGTTAAAAACTTAGGATAAACCTTACACGGTAATCCTAAAAAAATAATTTAAAGTGAAGTTTTGTATCGTCAAAAGCTAATTTTATGATAAAATGTGGCAGCATTTTGAAATACCAGTTGTTCTATACCAGTTGGCGAAAAGGGAAAGGAAATAAAACTGCTTTGAAGCTTTGGAAAGTTGCAAAATATGGCTGCTTCCGAAATACAGTTATATTATTAATACATTTATTTGTTTTTCTTGCTGTTGTGACTAATCTTGCTTGTCTAAAATCAGAACAAGCCCATGAAAGGCATTTTAAAAAAAGTGACAGAGTTTCAATAGAAAGGGACTTTTGAAATAAATTAATGAAACTTTCTCATTTTTTATAAATGCATTCAAATAAAATTAACCTAAGAAAAAATAGAGGGCATTGCTTTTTTAATTTCCTTCGTATTTGTACATTTTTTGTTGTCCCCACAACCACTATCTGCTTTAAAAACAGCACGGCCGTGTCAGTAATTGCCAGAAATGGAATTCTTTGCAATTTAATTTGTTACTCTGACGATAAGCGGACAGTATGAAATCAATTCAAGTATTACATATTTAATATAATTTAATTATTAAGAAATTGTGTTAGTAATTAATAAAGAAATCTGTCATTATATGGTTTCTATTTCGAAATGCAATTAAAATTAAAAAAATTAAACTACTATTTGTTGCATGCAAGTCGTAGTTAAGAGGCCAAAGAGGCTCGAGTACCTCGTGAATCACAGTTTGGCCATGTTATAGTATATTTCTAAACAAACAGAGTTGCTTACCGAGATTACATACCTTGTTTAGTTAGTCAGCATTGATAAAAAGAAAATAGTATATTTATCTATGCATGAACTGTTTAAAAGTGGGAGCTTGCATTCGCTGAAAATAGATATGTTAGTAATGAATATAGCATGAGTAAATAAAAATTACAAACGAATAAGATTTATGTAAATTAACAATTCGCTTGTAGCTATTTATTATCGTGTGCACTATTAACCGCTCAGTGTACTATTAGTGTCTTCGCATCATGTATCACCAACATCACCATTGCATCACGTATATATGAATGGACTATTGTGTGTACTATCAAGTTACGCGTGCCGTATCATCAACTGTATGCTACTACGAGTCTCATAATTTTATGTGCACCATATTAATGTTTATTTGCTTCATGTCTCTGCATCATTTAATCGTCTGTATCGTTTATATGTGTACTATTTGTCATCGAGTATACGTTTTGCATATATGTGTGTACTGTATCGTACAATGTAAACTATTAGCACCATTATGTCAAGTACTCTTGTCACTATGCTGTAACACGTACCTTTGTATGCTCACATGTGTTTACTATTACCTGTTATGTGAATTACTAACTTTATTGCATCATGTACTATTACCATTATGTTGCATCATGTATATCATTGTATCATGTACCTTACGTTGCATCTTGTATATCTGCGCGTTTTCTCGTGCGTACTATTATTATCATTGCTTCATGAACTACTGTCATCACATTGCTTCACGTATATATGCGTCCCCTATTGAGTGTCCTCTCAGTATCACGCCAGCTGTTTAAATAATTACGTGCTATTATGAGTCTCATAACATCATCAAGTGTTTCGCTTTTATGTGTCCGCATTATATAATTGTCTGCATCGTGTTTATCTATGTGTGTTCTGTGTTTAGTTCCGTGTATCTTAGTGTACCTTTTTGTATTTTTCTTTTTATATGTTTATGTCTTATTTTGTCCTACCTCTGTAACCATAACTTTCAGTTGTCTCACGTTCTTACAATGTACTTACATGTAGTCTAGCCTTTGTATGGCCATGTTAACTTTTGTTTTTTTAAGATCCTAATAAACTCCCAGGGCAGCCTCATGGGGCTCCAGGGAGTTGTTGCCTCTAGATAGTGGACGACGCGGGGCATATGCCTGTTTACCTATGTTAGACACCAGGTGCCCCCGTCCTCCGTCACCTATCACCTGTAAGCTACTTATTTATTATTTTATAATTTTGTTCGGAGAATTAGTCATCTGAAAATCAGCCGTCTGTCAGTCATACTTACGAACAACGTTCTGAAATTTAGAAATATTGCAATGCAACATTGAATCATCAGATACCATTGTTTCATTTACAGATATTATTTTTCAAATGCTTTCTTTGTCTACCTAAGTTTTAGCAGCCTTTTCTCTATCACATTATATCTTTAGATAAGCAGGTAAATGTATGTTGTTTTGTTAAAAAGTATTCAGAGTTCAAAACTGGAAGACCTTCCTTGTGAATTTGCATGCTTTTGGAACGGTGGTTGAGTCAGAAATGTGGCAAAATGGTTGAGAAAATTAAACCTTTAAATGTTTGTACAATTTGAAAGTACTGTACTGTGAACAGCTATGTTGATCTCTTTTACAGGCCTCAAATTCACAAGAGCAAAGCTGTAGGAAAACCAGCCGTGCTCTCTCATCGGCAGATCGAAATTCTTTCGCGAAGGCAAGAGAACGGGCTGAGACGCTGGCTGCCCTAATCGATGTTCCGAAGAATTTAAATGGCGTCAAGCAGCCCACACCCACCAATATCAGTGACGAAGAACACCACTCCAGGTAAGCTTTGGAAAACGGTATTATGATCTAGCCTATAATCATGCATGTTGTTATATATTCATTTGAATATAGTAGCGTATTAGTCATCCGTAATCCAGATGGGCCAGTTTTATTTAAAAAGTTCTTCACAAAGATATCCCTCCCCTTAAGCAGAAATCTTTCTTGTGTTTCATCATATTCAAGCAAAAAACAAATATATCCGGTTTATCAGTTATTCAGATGGCTTGTTCTTCTTTGCAATGGAGTTAAATACTCTGCTATTTTATTTACATTAGAAACGTCTCCAAAATCTTTGGAAAAGTAACCATAAGTTATGCTAAAACTTATTTATCATTCACTGACAAGCCTTGCCTTTGCTATAAATACAAGATCTTTAAATATCTTCTGTACGGTATGGAAAATAGCCATTTTTAGGAGTACTGATATTTGATGTGGTAAGAAGGTCTTTAACATACTTTCCAAATTTGAAATTTGAAACTTAAATCAACAATGCTCTGCCATTCGTCAAAATTCGACCTTGATACAAAAGTACAAATTCCATCAACACGCTACAAACTATATCTGGGGTTATATGTGATATACTGATGGGTCAAAGGGTCAACACGCTACAAACTATATCTGGGGTTATATGTGATATACTGATGAGTCAAAGGCACAAGGTGTAACTTCTCTATAATACTCTGTGACTAAATTTTGCCAATGGCGCGTTTCAGGCTGAGCTTGCAGCACTTAGAGTTGCAGTTCACTTTATCATTCTAGTCGAACAGCAATTGACTATATATTTTGATTCAGCACCAAACTTTCCTGCCATAGGGAGTTGGAAAAGAAGAATGACGTAGTCAAGGTGCTCTAGGGAATGATGCTCTTTCTGCTGGCAAATATCAGACAAAACCTCCAGTGGATCCGGGCACGCACTAGAGCACCCACCAATTAAAAATCAGATGAAATTACCAAATTGGTTGTCCCGGATGATTGTATGGAGATTTGTTGATGTTCACGCGTGGAGTCGCATATGAAAGTGACTACTAGGGCCCTTTTAAGGAAACAGTGTCAATGTAAATGGGAGAACGACGATACTAGCAGGAAAATCTATTGTTACCTTCTTCAAGATCAGAGGTAAATTAAGCAGTGGCACTTCTGACATGACTGGAATTCTCGACTTCCGGAACAGTGCGCAGTGCATTTGTGCTCAGAAACAAGAGCTTACTATTTTCGCCTTCCATCAGCTAAAAACAAACATATATGGGTAACATCTGCAGCAACACATACGTACTCTATTACCATAGAGTTCCTATTACCGGATATTTCCTATTCCTATTACCGGAACTGCACTGAAATAACAAATGGAATCGCATATGAAAGCGACTACTAGGGCCCTTTTAAGGAGACAGTGGCAATCTAAATGGGAGAACGACGATACTAGCAGGAAAATCTATTGTTACCTTCTTCAAGATCAGAGGTAAATTAAGCAGTGGCACTTCTGACATGACTGGAATTCTCGACTTCCGGAACAGTGCGCAGTGCATTTGTGCTCAGAAACAAGAGCTTACTATTTTCGCCTTCCATCAGCTAAAAACAAACATATATGGGTAACATCTGCAGCAACACATACGTACTCTATTACCATAGAGTTCCTATTACCGGATATTTCCTATTCCTATTACCGGAACTGCACTGAAATAACAAATGGAATCGCATATGAAAGCGACTACTAGGGCCCTTTTAAGGAGACAGTGGCAATCTAAATGGGAAAACGACGATAGTAGCAGGAAAATGTATTGTTACCTTCTTCAAGATCAGAGATAAATTAAGCAGTGACACTTTTGACATGACTGGAATTCTCGACTTCTGGAACAGTGCGCAGTGCATTTGTGCCCAGAAACAAGAGCTTACTATCTTCGCCTTCCATCAGCTGAAAACAAACATATATGGGTAAGTAACGTCTGAAGCAACACATACGTGCTCTATGGTATCCGGAACTGCACTGAAATAACGCATGGAACTTATAGTCGATTAATTAGCCAGATAATACCAGCAGCAATTCCGTTTTGTTGCAGCACATTGTTTTTAGCTTCTATCTATAATTAATAATTTATTAAAGAATCATGCATAATATATTCAGTATTTATGAATATATTATGTTATGTACCTCTGTCGAAATTCTATCATACCTGCAGATATGCTATCGATGGATGCTTAATATTTTCGATGTTGTGTGCTTGATTTAAGCATGCTAATTTGTGTAGTCATTGGCATTGTAAACCGCCTAGTGTATTTAGAAGTTTCAATATTAGTTCATTGTACGTATACTTTAGGCATAATACACATTGTTCTGCTTTTTTATATTGTATCTTTTATATTTTATCTTTCATAATGTACTTTTTATATTGAATTTTCCGTATCGTATCTTTTATCTTTTTCTAATATTGCAATATGCCATACATGCATACATATATAACATTTCTAATAGGGTAATATGCTATATTTTTCCACTTTTGTGTATAACTTTAAGATGAAAGTGTATGCCACCTCATGAAGCGTGCCACCCTTGCGATATATTATTTGTACAGCCGCGGTAGAGTTATTGGCTCATGCTCATGCTCAACGTTGTCTGTACTCGCTTTTTTTCTCTTTGCTTCGACTTAAAAAGCTCCCCATCATCACTTTGTCCTTCTCTAGCTGTACCTCCTTACAACTCCCTCTTGGCTGAATAGCTGTTCATTGCAAAAGTAGAGAATGTACCATGGCAGTCCATTGGCAATTCCTGGGAACTTAACTTTAAACGTTGACAGTCTCTGGAGACATATTCTTGACAAGCAAGGTAAATTAGAACAATCAACGTGACATAACTAGCTGAAATGCATATTTTACATGTGAAACAACCACCTCGTTAGCAGAGGAAACAGAAGAAAAGTAACAAAATACAGCAGAACAATACTGATCGGGCCTGTGGATGAGAAGAAACCTTCTGCGAGACTAAGTATACGTAAAATCTTTCTTACCTGTTTGGCTATAATTTACAGAACTTAATTCCTTAGAATTAACTGTGTGAAGGCTGTGATGATACATAGAACTTCTGCATGCATGAAAAGCACGATACTTTAATGAACATTAGTGATCATTAAGGATAGTTTGTAGAGTCCACTAGAGTAACTTCTGTGTGAAAAGTGTAAGAGTAGTAACTGCACGGAAGAAAGGTTAAAAGTTACCCTTTATTAACTCTTTAAAATTTGCAATGTGTCAACTCGACGCTAACAAACTACGCCTCTGCTTGGATATCAAAGAACTAGCCAAATATTTGAAGATATGCACAAGTCGTTGAACTAAACTACATGCCTCAGAATAATTCCTGTTTTTTAAGCCCCGTAGAAAACTAGTGGCAGAAAGTAAGTGTAATTAAGCCACGCGAACCAGCAATAGCCCTGGGGAGTAGACGTTTAAGCAACAGAGGTCACAGCAATAGTCTAACTCTTCCTCGTTGTTACTGAACCTCGGTTTTAAACTCTTTCTTCAAGGTAGAATTTGCATTCTTTCTTGCGCGCTACCAAATTTAAATATTCTAGCACTGACAATTAGAGGAGTGAATTCTTGTAGGAAAGAATAACAAATTAAATAAAATTGCTTATTTAAACTAAATATAAATCCCTACAAGTTATTCCACAGAATGATAGCAGTCTTAGGTAATTGCCGGAAAAGCGATCTAAGAAAATGTACTTCTCAAACGTATCATGCTTATAACTGTAACTGTCTATTGCAGACTAGGGGAGCACGCTGCCGCCCTCTGGAGGTACAATAAAATCACTGACGTAACTGTACGTTTGCGAGGAGTGGCATACCCTGCGCACAAGACAGTGTTGTCCTGCTATTCCAGGTACTTCAAGAATTTGCTTTTGGAAAGCAAAGGGTCGCCTTCTATTATTGACGTAAGTTCGCCACTGTCTTTTGATTGGTAGAGCAATTTTTAATATTATAAAAAACCTATAGAGGAATATTTCTTCGGAATATGTTTCTAAGAATATGTTCTTAGGCATTCATCAACTACGCGACTTGACAATTGCTGACATTGCTCAAGACGTACGCTCTTCAATTTATCATTTTACTTTAATAGATAACCGGTTTATAGAAAGCTACTAGCTTCATTCAAGTTTCCTAAAATCTTGAATTTCTTCTTCAAATTAAAAATATAGTGCATTAGGCTAAACTGTTTAAGAATAATAATTAAAATTATTAAAAAATTTATATTCCTTTTAATTCTTAATAATATATTTAATCTAGTAATATACTCAGCTCAGGGATTCTGAGTCAATAGAGAATTCTTTTCTGAAAGGTGAATTTCACACTTACGGGGAGGATGGGAGAGACTGGAGTAAATTTGTAGTAAAGACTAACAAAGGCATAGATTGACTAAAACGTGAGCACGTGAGCAAAACGGCTGAAAAAGATAAATTTAGGCACGTGAGCAAAACGGCTGGAAAAAGATAAATTTAGGCACGTGAGCAAAACGGCTGGAAAAGATAAATTTAGGCACGTGAGCAAAACGGCTGGAAAAGATAAATTTAGGCACGTGAGCAAAACGGCTGGAAAAGATAAATTTAAGAACGTGAACAAAGCGTCTGAAAAAGATAAATTTAGGCATGAGAGCAAAACGGCTGAAAAAGATAAATTTAGGCACCACGTCAATGTAATGAAATCAAGAGAAAATGTTTCTTTTTACATTCATTTAATATAATAATGAACCATAAATAAATAATTATTCAGTATTATAAGCTTTTCATGAATGTGTATTTATAGATACGTTTTATAATATCCTGTATTTCCAGTTTCAGTTTCATTCATCATTTGGTGTGCACCACTTTAATGCACTTGGGTTGAATAACATTCTATTAGTTAATGTGAAGTACTGCAATAAACGCTGAGAATCACTAATTTAATTCATTTAGTTAAGAACACATTAAATTTGCCATATTAGTCTGGAAATTTTAATGAATATTTGTTGAATTACTGATATTAATAAAAAGCACTTATCCCTTTAATTCAGTATAAAAACATTTTGTTCTTTTTAAATTTATTTTCCTTCATTATTATTTTACTCAATTTAATGAGTTATACCTTCTTATTGTAAAAAGACTCGATCTATTAAATTTTTAAAACCTTCCTCTTGCAGCAAATAGTAGAAGCTGCCTAACTTTTGCATTCCGCTGCGAAGTTAATGAGGAGGACCCAAATGGTTTTATATGAATAAAAACAATGATTTTATATAAATAAAATAAACATTCATACTGACTGCTTTGGAATTAATAAGAAAACCCCCTTCACTCAGGGTAAAGATGGAAAAATGTTATAGACCTTTTATTTATTTAGTTAGCTTCATTTATTTTAGTTGTCGTATTTCGGGAATGGCCAACAAGTTGATCGCGTAGAGTTTTGGTCGATCACGATCTACAAGAGACGATTCGAACACACAAGAGCCACTTAGTCATTCGTAAAAAACAAACTTTCATGGCTTATTTATTAGTTCACATTTCCTCGACAATCGAAAAACTCACATTTCCTGAGTTCACATTTAGCTCAGAGTAGAATTGAGTAATAAATGTGAGTTTAAACTCACATTTAGCTGAAACAACAGTCGAGTAATAAGGCAGATGTGGGCAACATGCATTTTTCGCCATCCTGTAAATCTGTTATGGATTTTTCTCCGTTCTTACCGCGGGATTTCATAGTGTAATTGGTAGCATGTCCGGCTGGCAATCGGAAGGTCTGGACTTCGAATGCCAGAGAGGGCATTGCTCATTATCTTACATTTCTTGATCCCGAAATTCCAAAACGACTCTACTGGTGGCGCCTGAAGTGAAGCGCCGAGAAGTCTCCTCCTTCCCAGCAGTCCTTTAATAGGGAAAAGTAAGTATTTTTTTTCTCTTTTTCGCCGAGTGTTTTCATGGTGTAATTCGAAAGCACGCTTAGCTAGCAACAGAAAGTTCTGGAGTTCTAATACCGCTGAGAGTATAGCCGATTTTTCCCGTTTCTTGCTCCAAAATGAAATTTAACGATTCTACAAGGATTTTATATTTTTGTTCTCTTATTTATGTAAAAAAATAGCATATATACAAAATAAACTCTATACACTTCTATAAATATATCTGCATGGGTTCGGATAAATGCATATCCAGCTAACTGTAAAAAGCATCCCAAATAAGAAGAGTAAGCACATGCGTGTTGAATTTGAAAATTAGAACTGATTAAATATTAGCGCGTATGTCTATTTACTTAGAGAAACTAAATATGTGCCTTTTAAGGTCAGTTGTAACTGAAATAATGACTAGACTCTAACTCAAGCTTGAAGTTGCAGAGCAAATTTTAAAACAACTAACTTAATTCATTGGAAACTCTGGTCTGCTCAAAGTCACGTAACATCGAAAAATATTCGGCATCGATTGGAGATTTAAATGAAGACTTTGAGGAAGATTTCAAGACTTCCCCCCAAAAAAAAAGAAATGCGTTTTGTTATATTTGTAATTCGATTTTATGGTGACATCAAATATGCTAACGAGCTTACAAATGCAATGTCCGTTGGGCGTAACGTAATGTCAATAACGTTAGGCAAATTTATTTAAACTGATTTGGTAAGCTGCAGCTACCTAAACAAAACTACCCGCGCCAAATGAGCCTTCTTTACAAAGAACGCACATTTGTGAATAACATTTCCTTTACGGGAAATAAAGTAATCACGAAACGTTCAGGCAAACAAACTGAATGTGCATTTCGCAAATGCGGGTACATTTATCTATGCAAACCTTTTTACTTCCTTATACGAAGTAAAAAAAATAAGTAAAGGAAGTGTTGTAACCGCGAAAAATTTCGGGTATCATATTTCAACGAAAAAATCCATTTTGACCGCTATCGAATGCAATTTAACGATGTTTTGGCGTGACATTTGTACGTAAGGACAGAATAAAGGACTCTTTATTCTGTCCTTACGTACAAATGTCAGAATAAAGGACTCTTTTCCCCCAAACCAATTATAAACCTGATTTAAAATCTATTCAGAAGAAATTTTTTCTTGGTGTCTGTATGTATCTATCTATTTATGTATGTATATCGCATAACTCAAGAATGAGTATCCTTAGAACATTGAAATTTTGTATATAGGACTGCTATAGCATGTGGTTGTGCACCTCCCTTTTTTGGTGGCAATCAGCAGCACCATATATATGTGTGTGTGTGTGTGTGTGTACCCACTTTGTTACTCGGCTCCGTCAGCCCAGTTTTTTTATTCTTATATGTTGGTAAATTGAGAACTTTTTTTGCTTTAAAAATGATTAAATTATGTTGTTCTTCTCTTCCGGTTAAGGTTTTTATGCCTTTAGTTAACCCGAATGCAGTAGTTGTACAATTACCAACAATTTGAAAGTTATTTCAGGGCTGCTAAAGCTAAATTTTTTTTTTTATTTTTTTTTACCATGGCAGCCTTATTTGTTTACATTTGAAACTTAGCAGAATAGTGGATTTGTTGCAAATCTAGGGAAACTAAGCTTCGCAATAACAAAGATAATGGCTTCTTTTATTATTGCGAATCAAATCATGTTTAATCCATTCTGGAATTATCCTTTAAGTTATTATCCCATGTATAGACTTAGCATAGCATCCACAACAAATTAAGTCAGTTTCTGCGCCTTCACAGTCTTTTTGCCGAGTGAGACCAAAAGTAAACTTCAGTTTTGTTCACCGAAAAATCTGCCTTCTTGTCCGCTGGCTGAATTGCTTGTTTTTGCGTAGAAACTCCAATTTTAATTTTAAAAATCATTTCAAACTAAATGTAAATTGAAATAATTAATATAATGAAGCAAACGTGTATACGAAGAGACTGTGATTCAGATAGCACCTGTAGTAATAACTAACACAAACGTAATGTCGAAAAAGTTGAAAGAAATGCTCAAGAACATTCTGATTTAACTTGGCTTTGATTTGGTAAAACTAGCTAAGTACTGGGTTAGAAAGTTCTCGTAACCTTAAACCAAAAGGGGATCACTAGGAATAATCTAACTCTATATAAGATTCAGATTCAGGTAAATTTTGGACAACATTATTGCAGAGTTGAACAGGGCCTTCATGTAAAAAAAGGCTGCTAGTTACTTAGTCATCTTCGCTCTGTTGTAGAAAACCTACAGCTTACTTATGAGGCAGTGGAAGATATATGTATTCATTTGTTTACCATCAGAAGAGCAATTACGTCGCCCTGAGGACTATTCAGCTGTTATGAACAAGTGGTAGAAGTCCGGAATTGGTAGCAGTCCGTTTTATTGCAACCGCTAGAGTATGCAACAATAGTGCAAAATTTTCAGCTCTGCACTACTTTGCGGTTTCTTCGAGCCACATATTATGCACATTAGGTTTTGCATATTACGCAAACGTATTGTGCCACAATGGCATCTGCGGCAATTAAAACAAAACGTCTAGCTCCATTTCGGTTATTTCGGTAGACATTACTTCGGCTATGCCAAGTTGCATGAGTCAGGTGCCATACTTTTGCCACTATTTCGGGTAAACGAATTCAGATGATTCATTCTTCTTTGGTTTCCATAAGCTTCAGATTGCAGCCGTGTACCAAACTACATCCTCCGTGACAAAGAAACAGAATTAGACATTGGGTTGATTGTAGGATAAACAGAAGAAGGGACATTCTTATTTTGTCTATCAGTGGCTAGAGTTAACGAAGACCAGAGTTCCAAGGTCATCATCATCTTCTCTGACAGCAGATCAGCATTGCAAGCGATCCAGAAGGGCAAATGTCAACTCAGTCATCAGATCATCGAGCTCACAAACAAAATCATTGCTGCCCAGAAATCCTGCATCTTACAATGGATACCGGCTCATGTAAATATTTTTGGTAATGAGAAGGCCGATGAGCTTGCAAAGGCATCCCGTG